CATGTTTCTGCGTTTGTTTGCTACGCATCAGGCGGTGCTGCCGGACTTTCCAGCGGTGGGCCACGGCCCCGGGACAGGGCTTCCGGATCCGGCCGACACTTTCGGAACGTCTGCACGGAGCAATTGCAAAGCATCGGGGGAACTCGAGGTCCGCAGGAGGCAGCCTCTTCGGTGGTGATCCCGCAACAGGTCAAATCCGATTTGTTTTCCTCCGGTTGCTTCTACTCTATAACATACTCCAGTGTCAACTTGCGAGCAATGGCTGGCGGGTGCTTCGCAGACAGATAGCACGGTACTTCGCGAGGAGGTGGTGGTGGAGGCTCCCTCTTCGGAGGCGGCGGCGCTGGCAGCAAGCTCAGTTCTTCGAACGCTGTCTCAAATACAGGCTCACGGCGAGGTTGCGGCATGCTTTCCCCATTCACACATTGTTGCTTCTTGCAGGAGGTTTGAAGTGCTCCATCAGGGCTTTGAAGACATCGGCATCAGGTGCATCCAGCGGAGCGTTGCCTGCGGGCGGGCGGCAACCCGAGGCCACAGGCTGTACGTGACCGCAGCAGTGCAGCTCTGAGAGTGATCTGACTGCCTGCAGCACCGAGGGCTGCTGGCAGCCTCTTCGGCGGGGCGCCCGCAACAGGCTGACAGGGTTGAAAATCGGTTAACCAGGAGCTGGAAGTGAGTGTTTTCAGTCGCGATCAGATGCCCCCGCTCATTCTCTCGCTTCCATCATCACCACCGGTTAACACATGCAATCGGGGGGAGGTAGGTAATGAAATTCCGTGGATTCCATGTATGATTTTGGGAAAATGGATCCATTCTCTTCCATTCCACGGTTGCGTAGAAAAATTGGAAGGTTGATGGGGGTGACACCGTCCCCCCGTTTACCGTTTCCACGCCCTGTGCTCGGAGAGCCATTGAGAGAGCAGATTTGTATATGAGTCTTTATGATTTTGCACATGTTGGTTCGTCACACGTTGGCAAACGTATGAGGGAATCAGCACTGCTGGTGACGTCACGAAACAGCAAAGCCACATCAAAGCAACGTGGGCAGGCATCCCCAGTTCCATGCCCCCACCTGTCTTAGCTTTGGGAGAGGTGCTTCGTGATGTGTAACCCATGACTCACTCCCTCGTTCACTCACTCACTCACTCGCTCACAGAAGCAGGCACGCACGCACTCACTCGCGCACACAGTTTCGAAGTATCGAACACACTTTCGAAGTATCGAAATCTAAGTGGTGTAGAGCTTCTGTTTTTGGGTTTATGGGCTTTCGGTTCAGGCTTCTTTCAGCGCTACTTTCGTCTTCGCAGCAGATCCAAGTTTCGGGGTTTGGTGATGTTTAGGCGCACAGTTTTAACACCTCACTCCGTTTTTGGCCAACATCGAAACGGATCAAGGGGTTTCCCCCTGCCAGATTCCGTTATTGGCCGAAACACAAAAAAGCTCGGAATGGGTTTAATTGTGATCGTCTGGCCACAAACACGGAGCATGCTATCCTGACTTGCTGACGACGGTCCGAAGGAAGCAGTAGTGCTGGTTCACCGGAGCAGCAAAAAATCACGACGGGCCAAAGCTCTCGGCGTTTCCTGCAAGTGAAACAAAGTGAAACTACCTCAGGCTCCCTTGAGCTCTTCTGCAGTCAGGTGGAGCCGCCCTGTCAAGCGGTGGGTCGCAACCTCGGAGCGCAATAGGTATCTAGCAAACACGAAGGTCGAGGGTTTCAGGTGAGTAGTGGCCGCTGGATCAAATCGAGGTCCTCCCGCGGCAGCTTGTTCGGCAGCGCGCCAGCGTCAGGCGTGTCGCTGAAAGCTGGAAGAAGTTGGTGGTCACATGAGCAACTCAACCTGACTCACGTCCGATGCTTGCAGCACCAGGAGGAGCAGCAGGGGGAGCATCCCTCTTCGGCGCCGGCAGTAGCGGTGACATGCTCAGCGTTCAGACTGCAGAGACCTTCTTGAAGCCGGGCATGTAACTTGCATTTGGGATAAAGGTGCAAGCATCTTTGGCTCCGCCACAACTGGCGGCGGATCTGGCATGTACAATGGCAGCTGCAGTCAAATCTGCTGCCTGTGTCTACCAAGCTTTCGTCGGAAACGGTTCCTTTGATGGGCACCAGGTGGAGCTGCAAGCAGTGGGTGGATTTCTCAGATTGATTGTCCTACTGCGGGTGCCTTTTCACCTTTCCACATTCCTGCGATCAGCATGCGCTGCAGCT